GAGGCCACCTCCCTATGAAAGCAGGAGGCAGGTGCCACCTGGAAGCCCAGGCTGTGTCCATCCCGGATGGAAGGCAGAGGCTGTGCCTTGTTTGCCGGTTGAGGACCTGGAGCTGATGGGAACCTGCCCACAGGCAGTGTCACGGGGCAGACACGTGTCTGGCCCCTCGGGGGGTTGATGAGTGCCGGACACAGGCTGTGCAGACAGGGGTCACTCGCCTTCTTGCGGCACAGCCACCAGATGCACAAGAGCAGCAGCAGGAACAGGAACAGGGCCGGGAGGAGCCAGAAGAAGTTGAGAGGGATGACGTAGGGGATGCACAGGGTGGGTGGGGGTGGGGGTGGGTGCGCCTGGGGAGGCACTTCAGCTGGGGGAGGTGCTGGTGGGGGAAGAGCTGTCTGGGGAGATGTCATCTGGAGAGAGGGCGTCGGGGGAGGCCGCTGGGGGGCGGTTGGAAGGCTTGCTCCTGACCTTTGTCCTACAGAAAGAGCACATGACACAGTCCCGGCCTGGAGCTGGGTGACGTCCTCCCCTGCCACTCACCCCATGCCAGGTCTCCCTTCTGCCCAGTCACCCTTCGACTTGGGTTGCCCTACCTGAGGAGAAAGATTCAAAGGTGATAGGGCTGGTACCCAGAGAGCCCCTCTGGGATAATAAGCTCAGGGCCTCGGTCGCCTCCTCTGGGGTAACCTCAGCATGCTGGTCTCCTCCTCTGTGACGACCTTAGTCACTGCAGTCATGGGCGTGGCAACATTAGTCACTCCGGTCATCATGGTGACAGCCCTCAGCACTGTGGTCCTCACTGTGACCACTGCAGGCATTGTGATCGTCATCATGACACCTGTGGGCACTGTGGGCATCGGTGGTCCAGGGCTGGTCTCTGGGGCTCACTCTGCGGGAGGCACAGGGGTCAGAGTCCGGGGGCTGCTCTTGGTGTTTTCTTCCCAGCTGTTTCCCACGGTTGATTTCTCCCATCAGCTCCCTCTCCCTTCCCCTCAAAGTTATATGACATACAGGGGCTCTGTGAGGACCACAAGGAGCTACGATACACAGATGGGTGAGGGAGGGGCAGCCGGGGCCCCCTGAGAGGTGGGGTGCAAGAACACAGCCAGGAGACCTGATCACATCCCCAGAGCCTCTCTCCCCTACTTTCTGCAACCTTGGGCACAACGACCCCATCTCTCTGAGCCTCTGTTCCCACACCTACAGTGAGGAAATGGTGGGCAGCTGAGAGCTGCAGAGAGAGACCACAGACAGTCCCAGCACAGGCCAGGGCCACGTGGGGGCTTAAGGAACGGGGGCTGTTCTCGTGTTGTTGCTCATAACCAGGGCACATGTGCTGCATCTGAGCACCCGCGCACCGCACAGCCCTTCCCTAAGTGAAATGCTCTGCTTGAGAGAAGCAGGGCAGCGGAGGGGGCAGAGAGAGCCTGTGCCTGAAAGGAGAGGCCCAGTCAGGCTGAGGGGACCCTGTGCTGGTCCCGGAGCCCCAGGCTGCTTCTGAGGTCTCTCCTAATGTGCCTGCGGAAGGGGGGCTGCAGGGGGTGGGACCCTGGTGGGAAATGTGTAGGTTCAGTCTCTGATCCACAGGGGGATGTGCAGGGACAAGGGAGACAGACACAGGGAGACCGTCACACGGTTGGCACCCTCGCCAGCTGGTACTGGACACCAGGGTGGTGGCCACTCGGCACAGGCGTCCCTCCTCCTGGGGAAACCTCACTCCCGCCTAACACTCTCTGTGGTCCATGTCGGGCAGCCCCAGGCTAAGGTGCCCGACTGATGCGGAGCTTGGAAAAGCGGATCTTAGGGGAGCAGCGCTGTGCTCCCAGATTCCTCTCCCCGAGATGAACCCCCACCTGCCCCACGGCCCTGACAGCTTCCCCACCAACAGAGGCGAGAGTCTCCCTGCAGAGACCAGAGCGAGTCAGGGGAGAGGAGCAGCTGAGGAGCACGAGGAAGGAGGAGAGGCACAGGCAGGCTGATGACATCTGCAAAGTGACAGCCGGTGTCCCCAGACAGGCTCAGGAGGTGGGAGCTGATGGTCAGGAGTGGGTTCTGAGCCCTGCCAGCTGCTTCAGCCACACGGCGCGAACAGTCCCTGACTGTGCTCGGCCACAGCTGGTCCAGGCCTCCCGACCCCTGTGCCTGAGACCCCAGTTTGGAGGGCCCGAGTGTCCCAGAGGTCCTGCGCTCTGTCTCCTTGGACACAGTGTCCCAGCTTCTCCCACTCACCCCGCTGGAATCCGAGGTGGAGCCCGGAGCTCCCCGGCAAAGGCTCGGGCCAGCGGGGGTGGCCAGGCGGGTCCGGGGTGGGCAGAGCCTCAGCACCGTTTCTGGAGTCTGTCTAGAGCTCTAATTGGTCCCTTCCAAGTGCCTTCAATGACCCTGGCTTCACAGAGACAGCAGAGGTTTGCAAGATCTGGACAGTAAGCTGTACCCCAGGTGCTCTTTCTAGTAACACGCCCAGCGCACTGCCCAAGCCTGATGCGGGTTCAGCTCCTGGATGTGGCGCTCAGGGCCCTGAGCTGCCTGTGAGATGCTGCTTTAGGGGCCTGTCTGCACAGGCTGCTTGCCGGGCCTGCCCAGGGCCCCCTGCTCCCCGCACCAGACTCCCGGGGCGTCTCGCCCTCCCTCGCAGGGGGCAGGGCAGCCCTGGGTCCGGGAGCCACACCCCGGCGCCAGCGCGGCTCCTGCTGTGGATGCACACGTCGGTGTTGATGACAGAGGTCCCGTGGTTCAGGCTGACTCCAATAGGCAGCTCATTGTTTGATCTTACAGCTCCAGCTTAGTAAGATAATGCAGTTTAGGACTTTATAAACTCCAGGAGCATTATATGTAGTCCACCAGTAAAGAATTTCATGGAGGACGCTGCAGACATTTGGGAGTCAAAATTATGATATTTGCCTACATAATGAAAGAGTAACTATAATGTGTGCGCTGTAATATTGTGTTTCCAACAGTGCCCAATTAGCAGCCACCAGAGATGCCAGAGGGGCACTGGTATCTAGAGGCTTTGTTCTATTTTCTTCCAATGAGGTCTGGTGTGTCTAAGGTCTGCCCACTGGTCCTGGTGAATCCTAACTGGTGTCAAGAGACAGTCCAGTGCTGAAAATAGATGGGAAAATTCATTTCACTTTCACCTCTGCTCCCAGTATCACGCATTTTCTTAAATCTGGAGAGGTGGAGGAATGGTGATGTGTTTTACTTGCCTTGGAGTTCACTTTAGAGAAACAGTGTGTACGAGGGACCAGCCTGAG